ATAGAACGTGATAAGCTTAAACAAAAGAGTGATTTGGAGCTCTTCAAATTCTCGAGGACTTATTAAAATTTATGTTACTGTACGTTCTAATTCACTGCGTTCAAACGAACGTAAAATATTTTGCCTCTTAAGGTGACTCCATACAGTTTTAGGTCTGTGTCGAGGAAATTTTGTCCACGCGCGAGATTAGTAGTGCTACACGCAACACGCGTCGTCGACGTTGCACGCTTGGCGTTTTTTTTTTTTAAATTGCATCGTGTTATACACGGACGAGCCTTCGTGGGATTGTCGGCTGGTCGCGCGAGGAAATTGAAATCCTAATTTTTGTGACGTCACATAGATAAAAATAAATGTGTGTTTCTCGTGTTTCCTTCTGTAAAATTTTTTAAAACTTCACACACTTTCCTGTAATCTTGAACTGCGTAAAATATGCAAGTTTTAAGAAAATCGTACGAGCCGAATTTTTTTATTCCAAAAACAGGGCTTCTTGAGGATTAAAAAAAAATATTCTGGTACGATTTTTTTAAATGCTATCATTTGATGGAATTATATATAAGATTACTGTGTGCAAAGGATTTAAAAGTTTTACTGAAGAAATTTTCAAAAAATTATCAAAGAATCTGCAAATTGGCCCTTTTTAGAATCGCTTTGTTACCATGGCAACGGAGATTTTTAACGAGATTTTTTTTATTTTTCGTAATTCGCGATATTGTAGCAGTTATGTGGCCAAGTTTCGTGATCATACTTTGCAAGATGATAAAATAATGTTTTTTTGAATTTTTTTTTACAATTGTGTGCTGTACAATCAAAACTGTGGGGAGCCACGTTAATGACAATTAAGACAATAGAGAGGTTAAGATACCCCGGTTTCGGTGTACGTGTACGGATAGCATGATTTTGGTTAGCAATATTTTCGTCCATGTCTGTACCTTTACTCGTAATTAAGGTGCACATTTTTCGCTTTATATATCATTGTCTATTGCAAGAAAACAGAAAAAGTATGATCGAATTATAGACATCAGTAAAACGAGATGACACTACTCGTACCCGTACACCAAAACCGGGGTATCTTAACCTTTCTAATAACAGAACAACCGATTATGGGAATATCGCAAGCGAACCCAACATTGTTTTTTATTGCATTGACTAATAGTGATACCTATATATGGTACAAGTGAATTTTAATTATAATAAGCATTATAAACCTAAACTTCGTGACACACTTTATCTAGCTATCATGTTCTGACTCTTTAACATACATGTCTTTAGCAATATTTTTTTTCCAACGGCCGTGGAGCTTTGGCAGTCTTTCCGAAATGGCTGATCTACTTTCGTTGTTGACTGCATGCCGACGTTATTCCCCCGGAACGTAACTGTGTAAGCCATAAATGGATGGATCATAACCTAAGTGTTTCAAAGTTTCTTTAAAGATTTCTCGACATCGGGTATACGAAAGCTTTCCATTTCTCAAAGTAGAGCCTCTGAGCCTGACTTGGTGTTTCTCAGTGTTCTGAACAACGGTAGACTACTGGAAGGCCTCGTATCTGCAGCTGTAAGATACCTTTCTAAAATAGAAACTGGACAGTATTTAGTATGAGTCCTAGCTATGTAAACATGCCTCCCATCCCTTTATATATATATATATATATATATATATATATATATATATATATATATATATATATATATATATATAT